TTTTTACAGATGTGATCATTTCGATAAACCAGATATCAATTCCGGATCTTCTTCAAAAAAGGGAGGTGTTGGGATATTCAGAGAAATATCCCAAAACATTATCCTTGGACTTAAAATGGACATTTCCTATTGGTCAAATATTGTACAAATGTTATTTTCTATTTTATTGGTACGTTGTGGTCGGGTTGATTGGTATATAAACTCTGTATCCTTGAAATGTGATGATTCATATCGCAGAGGCTGAGACTTTCGTTCTGGACTTAACTGGCTGGGCTAAACAGAGAACCAGGACCAATCAGGACTCTGGGTCGTTCTTACGTGTTTTACGTGCCTTTGGTCCGATCGATAATTCATCGCTGCTCTCGAATCTGCAGTCTCAAGTTATTACAATGGGAAATGTATAGGGCTACATTGTGTGGACAGATGTGGTTTACAAACTGTTTTATTCGAACATTTTTCACAGAGACCATGATAATAATATAGATTAGTAGTTGGAAACCAGTATTTTTTTAATAAAAGAGGTGGAACGTCATGTATAAGGATGAAAAACGTAATGAAGAGCGAATTTAGTACTGTTACTCGCTAATTATAGACATTAGTAACTAAAGTAGGGAAGATAAAAATAGAAAGCACATAATAACAACAAGAATTACTGTGATAGATCTGTCTTCAGGTATGTTTTAGATTGTTTTGTAACCTACTAATCTAGTTAGAATAGCCTAAGTGTAAAATATCAGCATGAAGGAAAGTTGTATAAGCGTCATCAACAATAATAGTAAACAAACATTTAAAATCCCTATCAGTTTACAATTAGAGTGATATGAAATTATTGGTATAAGCATTTTAAGGCAGTCTCAGATGAGAAGTGAATGTTGATGTACTATACTAATGATGACAGTGTATTTTTACAGATAGACTATCACAAATTAGTTGAGATTCCAATGATTTTACTTGTAAAATAATTAAATTTCTAGTTTAATGCCTATGGAATTTTGACTTTAAGTACAATTACTCCCAAGAATCTTAAGTGTAAAGCACAACTGAAAAGGTTCTAACCTAAGTTTATCCTTAATGAAAAACCTAATACTCAAGTTAAAAACAAAGTATTTTAGAAGTAGTTGGACATTGGCTTCGTACAGTGAAATCTTCCCATATGTCTCACTTCAGTGATTCAGCTGGTATGTTGACGGGTCGTGCTGCTTTCCTACACTTGATTTGTCTGATGGTCATTCTGATTTCTTCTGTCGTTGGTGGACTGACATCTATAGAAAGACCTGCTTCGATGTCTGGTGGATTCATTGGAGCCGGCCTATTAAGGAGTTCCTTGAAGTACTCTACACATCTATTCCACTGTTGTTGAATTTCAGTGATTGGCCTGCCTTCTTTGTCCTTGACCGGTCTCTCTGGTTTACTATATTTCCAGGCCAGTTTATTCGTCGTTTCATATAGTTGTCTCTTATTTCCTTCTCTCTCAGGTTTTTCCGCCGTCGTTGCTATTTCTTACACATATTTCTGCTTCTCAGCTTTATCGCTCCTCATAATTTGCTTGCTTGCTTCTGTGAATTCAGCTTGTGCCTTGAATTTCTCTGCTCTTGTTCGACTGTTGTTAATTTCTGTCCTATTGTTCTTCCTTACTCGATTCCTGTCCAGGATATCAATAGAGATCCATTCCTCATGGTGATGCTTCTTGCGTCCCAGAACCTCCTGATACGACGAATTGAGTGCTTCTTTGATACCTTTCCAGTTGTCCTCCATAGTAGTTTCCTCTTCTTTCAGTAGATTCTATACGGCTTGGAACCTGTTGTTGAAAGTTATCTTGAATTCGTTGAATTTGTTAGTATCTCGAAAGAAGTCTGTATTGAACCCTTGTGGTTTTGTTTTTCCAATTGTCCAGTTCATCTCTAGCCTCAGTTTTAAATTGACCACAACTAGGTGGTGATCAGGATCTATGTCAGCTCCTCTCCTGATTCTCATTTTTTCCATTGGCCAGCGCAACTTTTTGTTGATGCAACTATGATCTATCTGGTTCTCTTTGGTGTGGTCCGGTGAGATCCATGTAGCTTTGTGTATACGTTTGTGTGGAAATATTGTGCTTCCTATGACCAATTTGTTGAATGCACACAGATTTGCGAATCTTTCTCCATTTTTGTTTCTCTCACCCAGTCCATGTTGTCCCATGATATCTTCATACCCGGTGTTGTCTATTTTGACTTTGGCGTTTAGATCTCCCATCACATTGGTGAGGTCTTTTTCTGGGCACTTTGCTATGGTTTATTTCAGCCTCACGTAAAACTGATCTTTATCGTCGTCTCTACAATCATTGGTGGGTGAATAACACTGTGTAGCATTCATTGTGATTCCCTGCTTCTTTGTTTTGAATGACGCTTTGATGATTCTGGATCCGTGAGTTTCCCATCTTACAAGTGCATTTCGTGCTACTTTGGACAGCATTATAGCAACTCCCTGAGTGTGTGGAGCATTTTTCTCTCCGTGGCCGCAGTATAACAGTATCTCTCCCGTATCCAGCCTTTGTCCAGTGGGTTTCGCTGATTGTGAGTACTGCCAATTTGTACCTCCTCATTTCCGTTGCTATCTGACTGGTCCTCCCGGTCTCCTACCCTACCCCGACGTTCCAGTTACCTATAAAACTTGTTGCTCTGGTTGTCAGAAGAGGCATCGGCCTCATGACTACCGGAGAATTTTGGCTTTCATCATGAGCCGTCATAATTTTTCCTTGAATTTTCAGGGCATAGTTTAAATGATTTAACTTATTTATTCTGATTGGTGTTTTTTAGCAAGACTGTTTTCTACAGGATTGGGTTGCCAACCCCATGCCCAACCCTCCTCCTTTACCTTGACTTGCGCAGGTAGTAGCCCTAGAAGAGCCACAGGCAGAGTTTTACAGCCTCAGAACTCAGCTTAAATTCCGTAGGCTTTTTCTTGAGGAAATTTGTTAATAATTCCATTAGTTGTTCGCAACGATGTATGAATCTATCACAAAAGTCAACTGAACCTAGAAAAAATTCTAAGTTGTGTTGAAGAACTTAGTGTGTGTTACTGCATGTTGATGTCTAACTCTTCTGTAATCGGTATAATCCCGCCTAGGTTTATTGTGCCCGGGGAATTATAAAGTTTGTACACTGAAAAAATACTAACATTGATGCATTTTCATTCGTTTTACATCTGTCCGTTATAAAAGAGCGCTCACGTGTCGTTCATGTGATTAAAAATTGGACTGGTAATTAACAAATTATCTGTATTCCCTTGTACAAAAAAACACATCCCGAAGTAGGTTGTCTGTGTTGCGTTTTTCATGTCGAATGGCATGCGTAAAAACTCGGACGGTCCAAAACATGTAGTAATCTTAGTCTTAGGGATATCTTCTTCAGCTACTGGGATATTGTGATACTCCATGACCAAGTCAGTTTCAGTAAATATGTCCATACACTGTAAGCCGTTTGTAAAGTCTTGAATATGGGTTATTGGGTACCTATCTGGTACGGTGTGTCGACCCAGGAATATGTAATTTCGATATAGTCGCCGATCACTCTCATTTTTCGTTGCAACCATGTTTACATGGAATTCCGTTTGGCTATCAGAGGGACGGATAATAAACAGCTGTAGCATGTAGTCGAACCCAGCTCTAGCGATTTTAAGCTTATCTAATGCTAGTCCTTTGGGTCTAGCAAATACAAGTCCCCTTTGAGTTCTAATTGTATGACTTACCTTTACCTTACTTTTGAAAGGTTGGAGGTTGTGTTTGGTTTGGAATTTGCCCCAGTATAGTCTAGAATTTCGCTATTGTTATTGGTGGAGTTTTTATCGAATTTAGAGAAGTGATGTGACATTCTTTGAATGAATTAACTCTAAGTTCCTTCAAGTGCCAAACGTCATATCTTAGTGTCGACTAGAAAATCATATCTCTTTAAAAAGTCTATTACCAGTATTTGCTTCTGTTTCTATGATCTATTTGCACTTTAAAGACAGTCTCTTTGAGACTTACCATACTCTCAATCAGTCCTACCATGACTGAGCGCATTGATGATTCTTTTTGTTTATGATCTATCATACGTGATCCAGGTGCGAGTCCCCTCTCCATTGTTTTTTATGAAATGCATGCTAAATGAGGCAAACAGACGTCTGAGTTTTGGGCACCCAAACAGCGTTGAACGTAGCATATATCCATCCTTGTTTTAGGACTGATTCACCCACAGTATTGCCGCCCTCTAGGAATTGGAGGTGACGTAAGAAATGTGGTGACCTATCACCCAATGTTTCTCCCTGTAAAAGACTTTGGGCTCTTCAGCCGCCTGATAAAGATAGACGGTTCATTTTCTCACGTCTTCAAATGGTGTACGATTGTAACGTTGAGGGACTCAAAACTAAGTTGAGTACTTCTATAGAAACTTAAGGTGGGGAGGACTGAGCATTGATACCCAATTCCTTCATATTTAATATCGTGCCTCGTGCAATAATGCTCTAGTTGAGAAAACCACAACTCAGGGTCACTAACAGTGACTATTTCTACTGGAGACGAATTATACTTATCTTCCGGTCTTTTAATCTGTATTGAGTCTGACACATGGCATATAACGAATGTATTATCGCACTAATACTGTGCGATAATATATAGAAAGCGTTGAATGTTATTTCAGTTATTCTTTTTATCAAGCATTGTTGAATGAATAAACAACTAAATGATAATCTGACGATATACTTTATTTATAACAAACTATTAGAACCTGACTGTAACATTCCAAGTTAAACATATTTATATTGAGAAAGTACTTGTTCAAGCTTCATATTTAAGTTATTGAAGGATATCGAGAACATTTTAAATGAACACCCATCAATCATATTTTAATGACTAAACTAGTGAAGTGATGCAGATCTGTTAGTATTTGTAAACGATTCAACCATTCATATATAAGTTAGCATCAATTCAATTCTGATTGGTCAGTAATAGTGAATATATAAGTACAAATTGCGCTTACACAGTCGAACTAGAAAGAGTCATGAAATCTTCCATAACTTGTTTCCTATACTTATTGTTTATTTTAGTTTACTATGTTTCTAAATGTCATTCCATAGTCCCTAAAGCTTATAAACATCATAAGACAGGAATTTATCATAATCTTATTGAAGTGTTGACCTACAATCATTCATACAAAAGTTGTTATCTTTTAACGGAAGCATTAAAACGTTTTGAAGAACGTCTCACATTAATAAAACAATATCCTAAAGTTCCGATTTATTTGCCTAATTCCACAATCGATACCATCAAAATATCAATCACTAAGGGATGTAACGAATCAAATGGCGAATTATGGCCTTCTGAATCAATCAATGAGACGTGTATGTTATTTTATTTAACGAAATTATTATATCACAGATTCACTCTTCATTTTCAGTAAAAGAATAATCTTAAAATCAGAAGAAATCTGGGGAACATTACATGGATTGGAAACAATACTTCAGTTAATTTACAGAAGTCCACTAGAGAGAGTAATGTGAAATTAGACAATCATTAATTTTTTTTTCTTGTTAGAACATGATTGAAGGTGGTATCATTTGGGATGAACCATCATTTCCCCATAGAGGATTTTTAATTGATACATCTAGACATTATTTATCATTAAAGGAGATTGAGAAATTCCTTGTAAGTATAAAATATTATCTGAAGGAATTTTTAATATTTATGTTTAGTATCTACACACTTATAGCTCTTATTAAAGTATAACTAAGCTTTTTGAAACACTCATGTTAACTAGATTTTATTAAATGATTAATCTAGCTACTATTAGTCAAACGTTATATGTGTCGCTCGATTTCGTGGATTAGTTGAAGTTAGACATTAACACCGTTGGATGCTGACCGGCTCAGTGGTCTAACGGTTAAGTGCTCGCGTGCGCGAAATCAATAGGTCCTGTGTTTGAATCTCGCAGGTAGTGGATGCGGATTGCCACTGAGGAGTCCCACAATAGGACAAAACGGCCGTCCAGTGCTTCCAGGTTTTCCATGGTTGTCTAGCTTCAACTGAATCATAAAAATGAAATGTAATAAGAGAGGGCATAGAAAGGAAATAATTAGGTTAGGAGAAAAATGTCACTAGTGAAGCAGGTGAAGAGGGAAACTAATTTTGAAAAGTAAAACCAAACACAAATAGATTGAACAGGTTTCTTTTGTTTACATAGGTTGAGTTTTTCTAAATGTGTCACAATGGATCCAGTAATGTTTAGATAACAGAAGCTTGACGTATTTAGAAAGTTTCTGTTCACCTTTTACATGACTTGGAACCCTGAGCCTGCTATGATCTGATGATCCATATTCACAATGTGTTCAATTATGGGGTGTCTCATTGATCCACTTCTGCTTATTTCCGACTATATCAGATAATGTTCCTCAATCTTCTTGAGAAAAACTGACATCAAACAACCCGTATTACCTGGCTGTTTAGGCGTAAGTCGGTTGATAAATACACATAGAAGTTGTTAAATGTCAGAGCTTATCCTTTAGGTCATTAGTAAATACTGATCAACTATAGCATACTAACCGTGAGGGTGTTGTAAAAAATACCCTTTATAGGGAACTAGAAATTTATCTTTCCAAGATATCCGAAGCCGTGTTACCTTTGAATACATTGTACATGTAAACCAATTTTTTAATACGAACCACTCCATGAAGGCTTTCTGTAAACAGATCTTAGAGTTCTATCAGTTTCTCTGATAATTACATCATCCATAAAGTAACTGTTTAGTTTATTTTCCATTTTAAGTGTGAGGTTTACTACCAGGTAGCATTTGTTGAGTGCCTGCATAATGTGATTTCAACCACATTTATCATCGCAGATAACAAAAAGATTACTTATATTTTCTTTGTGTAGACGGATATTATCAGCAGTTGTCTTTAGTTGTTCGTTTTCCGAAATGACCATTAAACAGTCTACTAGTAGTTGACCAAGAGAGAAACTCATAACTATACCATCCTTTTGTCTGTAGATTATATTCTTGATTTACATTCATCATTTAAATGGAATCACAGTAATATTTTTTTGTAAACAGTACGTTAACGACACGATATCATTATCTCACTTGCTTCTTTTTCAAATCATTTTAGTCTTATTTTTTGTTTAATATGCTTAGAGATAAAAGATTTGACGCCTTATCAACGTAGATTTTACGATCCATCAGAGCTATTCCTTCACCACTGTCAGAAAGCATTATTCTTTGATATTGATAGATGTTAAGCAATTTAAATTATTTTCCATGATGACTGAAGATATCAAGAAGAGTAGACTTAAAACGTTTTAACTCATAGTTGGATACTGTTTTTACTTGACATGGCTAATTACCACGTGACTTATTCGCCAATTGGAACACGACTTATATAATCTTAACAGTGTGTCAAACCAATGACATTCGACCGGTAGGACCAGCTTAGCGTCCTTACTGGTCCCTTTCCACCTAGTTCTGCCAACTGAGTCCAAAACGCCAATAATAGCTTACAATATGCGAATCATTTATTTCGAACATACCAGCTAAACAGACCACATCACACAATAAAATAGGAAATAACATTTGTACAAGATCAAACCGAGAAGTGGCTGTGAACATCAGGGACTGTAATCAATAAACTGAGTATAATTTAAGAATAGTAAATCGTATCATAATAATCTATAAATCAAAATAAAGCTTACAATAAGAGGAATATAGGTATACGTAATCTAGTTACTGAATAGTTATGGAATAAGACAATGTGTATAGTATTAATCCATTCATAGTTCTCAGAAGTTACCTATAATTTAATCTTCACTAGGATATAGCAGATACCGGATTAGACCTGTCTGTCCAATGACTATATATTCTAATTGATTATGTGTGAAGTTCACTAATTTTATGATTTAAGTAGATATCACCCCACAGATTTGGCCGCCAGCCCCCAAGGCGATGAAATTACTGTGAAATGATTGATTATATATCTCTTAGGATATGTTCTGATGATTTTATGCCTTTAGTAAAATTTAAACGGGCATTCTGAGTACATTTATCTACATTTTTAATGTCGTTTTCAGTAAAATGTTCATACTGATTCGATATCAGAGTGTATAACATGTTTATGACACAATCTAATTTAGTAACAGAATGTATAAATGGATATAATTATAAATGAAATAATATAATTGTAATATCCCAATGAGTAGGAAATCAAATTTTCTGACGTCCAGTGACTCAATGTAAGCCACCTCTTTAAAGATTGAATAACCAAATCAAAATTCATTCAAGTTTAAATAGTACAAAAACTTGGATGAATTTTGATTTGGTTATTTATTCTCTGAAGAAGTGACTTACATCGAGTGACGAAACGTCGGAAAATTCGATTTCCTACTCATTGTGATAATACAATTACTTTCTTACTAACTTACGCCTGTTACCCCCAATGGAGCATAGGCCGCCGATCAGCATTCTCCAACCCACTATGTCCTGGCCCTTCTTCCCTAGTTCCATCCAATTCATGTTCATTCTTCTCACGTCTGTCTCCATTTCCCGGCGTAATGTGTTTTTTGGTCTTCCTCTTTTCCTCTGGCCTTGAGGGTTCCAGGTGAGGGCTTGTCTTGTGACGCAGTTGGGTGCTTTCTTCAATGAGTGGCCTATTCACTTCCAACGCTTCTTCCTGATTTCTTCCTCCGCTGGGATCTGGTTTGTTCTCTCCCACAGTACGTTGTTGCTAATAGTGTCCGGCCAACGGATCCGAAGTATTTTGCGTAGACAACTATTAATAAACACTTGTATGTTCTGGATGATATCTTTCGTAGTTCTCCAAGTTTCTGCCTCATACAGTAGAACTCTCTTGACATTTGTATTGAAAATCCGGACCTTGCTGTTGGTTGAGAGTTGATTTTACAATTATATTATTTTATTCATAACAGTCTACCCAATGCTCAATTTATCATAAATTATCAAGGCATACCTTGAATATAGTTATGTTTTATGTGTGACTTTTGAAATTAAGGGTAAGAACGTTATATAATGTTCGTTATAGTGTCAAATTGTGGATATCAATAGGCACCAAACTCTGTTCTGGCGATCTGTCCCATCTAGCTATTCCAAACAATCACATAGTTTGTGCTATCAAATAAGTTCTTTATAATCGATAATTAACTTTGATCAACAATAAAGAATCACAAAGACATCTTATTTATTCTTTAGTAACCAAATTTTGCTTCAATCCATCATAATAAATCCTCAATAAGCTTCATTTACATGGTTACAATTTATACTTTGGTTGCTTTTGTGTTTTAAAGGATTCAATGTCAATGGTGAAAATGAATGTACTTCACTGGCATATTGTGGACGATCAATCTTTTCCCTATGTATCTGAAACGTTCCCGAAACTTTCTTCAAAGGTAAGTTTAAGAGAAAAATTTTCGAATAAGTGTTTATCTGAGTATGGGGAGTTTTTTAAGACGGTGGTTGGAGGTAATCAACAGGAAATCCTGGACCCGGGTTTCGTACTATTTGGCACTCTTTAGCAAGATGCACCTGTTTTCATGGAGGAACTGGTGCTCCTTGACGGATTCAATCCCGTATCACCCAGCTTCATAGTCAGAGACGTTACCCTAAACACAGGGAGCATCAGTTCCCTCAAGATAACAGGTACACCTTGCTGACAAGTGTCAAATAGCACGAAACCCGGGTCCGGGGTTTTCTGTTGACTACCTCCAACAACCATCTTATCTCAACATAGTGTACTCAATGTCAAGTCACCTAAACTAGCGGCCACATTGCTACTTGGTCGATAGCATTCGATCTGTACTAAGAAGGACATGACAACCATGACATTGATCACCACCCAGTGATCAATCAATTGTGGGCAGTAGTTTTTATTTTAGGATTTTTAACATAAGGTATTGCCGTCTCTAAACTACAGAGCATTGGTTTTAGAAATAAAATTTATCCTTCTTTTACTAATCTTATAGATTTGTAATTCTTTCATACATTTAATTTCAGGGAGCATTTCACCCGTATCTTTTAATCTATACACCGAATGATGTGAAATATTTATCAAATTATGCTCGTTTACGAGGAATAAGAATAATGCCGGAATTTGATACACCAGGTAGGAAAAGTTATTAAATAGTTATAAAATTTTAAGATTACCTTCTATGTTCTAGAGTGTTTAGTGTCCGTGTTAAGGTTTATCATTAAGTTATTTGAAATTGTGTTGATTACGATATTCATCGGAGTTAAGCATGTTATGTTTGATATCAAGAGTCTTGTATTATTAAGTATGAATGTCGTCCCCATCGTTTGAAGGATGAGAAGCCTGATAGCTTTTGATAAATATCTCTTAACAATTCAAATGACTAGGATTGATTAATTGATGGTGGTTTTATGGTTCGTTGGAACTAGATGGAATAAGAACAAACTGTCGATATTTCTAAACACATTTTTGCTTAGTCAATCTGTGAAGTGTTCAGAGGAACAAGAAAGTGAATTCCTCGAATGCAAGGAAAAAAACTGTGCTTCAAATAATAGTTTGAAATGACAAAGTGACTTGTGTAAATATTTTAATCTCGATTTTACCATCAAATAAGTATGACATATCGTCATTACTTTTGTATTGAATTTCTTTGATCCATTCTGTGTGACTTATTTCTCTGGTTCCGTGGCATTTACTCTATGAGTTCATAAGTTAAATAATACTAATAATAATCATCGAGTATTGAGTTTAGTTAGCTTACTGAATTTAGCCGACTGAAATCCTTGTTTTACTTAAAATTCATAATTCTTGGCACTTATAAAAGTAAAAAGGTTTTATGCTCATAGAAAAGGCTGTTAATATCTTTGAAAAACAAGTATGGATTTTACATTCAACTACTATGGAACACAATTTCAAGTATCTGATCAGATCAGCGGAGACGTATTCAAGCTTATGAATGCCAACAAACATTTCATTTAGTCTGAATTTACGAGTGTACTATGTTAAATGACTTGGAGTTTCGTATTTCGGAATAGCCAATACTCTTCAGAAGCCTCATTTAGATTGTTTATTTTAGAATAATTCCTTTAGATTGGCAATAAGGTATCCATTTCTTTATTTTAATAACACAATAATGACAGTAATCAATTATGCTGCTTTAATATAGTCACTAATTAATAAACAATAATGTATCCTTTATAAGAACAGACTCTAAGATTGGGTTGAAGCCCGTGCAGTTGAGCCGTTATCATGAGAGCAATTGTACTCTTTCATTCGACTACTGATAAGTTCATCTATATTGCCTGTAGAACAGATGATCTATTTTATTAAATACAGTAATCACATTGACCAAAACCTTCGAGATCATCCTAACAAAGTGTCCAGTTAGGAGACGATGATATAAAGGCGATTATTTCTTTGCTGTACTTGTTTATTTTATTTGAACACATAAACATTGATACAGGGGGACAACAAATACATATGAGCCAGATAATTATGTTGTGAAGAGATAATGAATGAAAGGTGAGTATGATGAAAAGAGGAGCAGCAATGAACAGAAACTAGTGGATGAGAGTTTGATAATAATAATAATAATAATAATAATAATAATAATAATAATAATAATAGTGGGAGAGGCAGTTCAGTTAGGAAAAATACGACCAGAAAGAATTTTTCCAGTTAAAGAAGTTATTCTAACTTTTACAAAGAAAGTTACAGTTACGTCTCAAGCTATCGTGTTGCACCATCGCAAGGACCTCAAACAGGGAGTCGTGAAGGCCCAACAGAAGCGAGTCCTGTACAGCTTATTTTAATACTACGACACTATGTCATACACTGACCACCTCTCCACTTCTTTCAACTGGTCCCAGAGTCGACAAATAATCCACGATATGGAATTCGCCGGGACGACAGTCATAGGAGGTATTTTAACCACCGATTTTGGTGTTTCAAGATGGTCACAGTTACGTCCTTGATCTGTCTACCTGTTATGACTGCGTCACCAATTGTTATATCTGTTCGTCGCTGAGTGTTATGTCGGAATCGCTTATCACGTATACTTATGAAGCGAGGAACCTCTGCGATTTTCACGATGCGAAAGTAAGAACACAAAGGCTGATACAAGTGAAGATTTATTAACCCCAAAACATGACCACGACGACGACCCTAGTCAAACACACACTCATTTATATATTGATTGTAAACCCATTACAATTAATAATTAGGATGAAATCACATATATGAAACGTACTTAGAGTTATGACAAATCACATGCTACATGTTATGCTGTGCATAGTTCAGGTCAATTTTTATTACAAGAATATCGTATGTTGTACAGAATAAAATGTCATACAAGAAAACAGAAACCAATACTACATTGAGTAATCATTACATTGAATTAAAACGGAATTAATGTTGAGTAAAAATCATAATGATTAAATCAACCTAATTTTGACTTTTCATCCCGTCATATCACTACCCAATAATACACATGAGAGAATGTGTCGCGATCTAGCTTCAGGCCTTCATATGATAGACTAACTAGTTTAAACATGAGGCTAGAAATGCTTGAATCGAATCGAGGTTAACGGCCTTAGAAAGAGAAACAGAAACTATTTTATCACCTGATTGTTAGACAAGAAAGAAAAAAGACAAGTCAACTGGAACACTACTCGATTTGTTCCTGGTTCCCGATTCCCGATTCAGATTAATGTAAAAATATAGATGAATACATAGACGACTAACACGCCCAAAACTCACAAACAAATAGAAAAGTAAAATTATATGTAAATTGGGCATTGGGGTGGAAAAATAGAATTCAAAATGCTACGTTTAAATTCCAACTGCTTCAGAACCGAAAACAGTATGTCAGCGAATTGTACATCAAACGAAGGCCTATGATTTATAGGGACAAAAATGAATATTAGTATTTCACAAACTCTGAATTAAAGTAAACAGCGTCCCCAAAAATATCTTCCGTTGTCCAACATGGCTTTTTTTGTTTCGCTGTCCAAATTACTGACATCAAATGATTTATCGTTACTCTGCCTGAACACGCGATGCCGAACCTCTGCAATACTGACATGGTGTTTCAACTGAAAGTGAGCAATTCTCCGGAGGGAAAGATTACCAAACACAGAGAGTCATCTAACATCCCCAGCTCGGAGAGATCAGGTTTCAGTAGCATAAAGCGAAACTGCTCTCATCGGTGAGTTGCGGATCCGACCTTTAACAGTGAAACTAACATCACGAAGGCGCCAAAGATGAGCCAGATCTGCATAAGCCCCTCTGGCTTTTATTATAAGTCCATCAGTATCATGACTCATGCCGCCACCAACATTTATGCAGCTACCCAGATGCACAAACTTCTCAACCACTCCTATGTAATTAATAACGATAGTGAGTGCAGGTTCACAGTCCTGTCAGACTTGTAAAAGTAGTTTGCACTCAGGAGGTCAAAAACACATGCCATACCTAAGGAAACTGTTTGCCAACTGATTATGTTTGGATTACATGGCTTGGGCAACCCTGTCTCAACTCACTTCTGGAATGGAACAATGTAGAAAGGTGGTTGTATGCCCTCATTCTGCCTGTAGTATTGAATATGGTTGCTTCAAGCTGCTAATAAAATTCACAGGCACACCCTTCTTCGATAGAAAATCCAAGAGAACAGTTATGTCCAACAAATCTAAGTCACTGCGATTGTTGGTCTGTGATGGGCGTGGCGGTGTTCTAACACTTGACGGAGGTTGAAGATTTGGCAAATACATCCTCAACCGGGATGAAAACCAGCCTGCTTCTCGTGAGTCAATTTTTCCTTAGTTTTGAACAGTCTACGAAGTATGGAAGAGCCCAAGAATTCAGACACTATCAGAAATAGACCTACACTTCGATAATTGTTGCATAGTTGACGTTAACCCTTCTTAAAGATAGGACTAATCATCGATTCATTTCACGATGGTGGGACACTCTCTAATTGCCAGACGTTTGTAAACAACTCAGTCAGTTCCCTAACTAGAAAGCCATCACTCTTACTGAGGACATTAGACCGGCCAAACTGTTCTTCGAAAACTTCATCGTTCAAGATGTCGATAGATGTTGTACTCAATTCTGTCATAATTCAGTATACCTGAAATATCCGACGGCATAACAAAATAAATAGAAATTACACTTTATACACTACTCACCCATGTAATACAAAACGGTGTGCTAGGAAAATAGTAAATTATTCGTAAATCTATAACAATGAAACATATAACGGTGGTGAATGGTTTAAATGAAATTTAACAAGTTGGGAAACATAAGAATATAGTAATACAAGCAGCTGATTGAGATATAGATGGTGGTTTGAGGTAGTCAACAGGAAACCCTGGACCCGAATTTCGTGCTACTTGGCACTCATCAGCAAGGTGTACCTGTAATCTTGAGGAAACTAGTGTTCCCTAGCGGACTCGATGTCGTGTCACCCAGCTTCACAGTCAGAGACGTTACCACTGAGCTATCCGAGCCGTGACTAACCTCCTGTAGGACTGAGATGTAATCACAATTGATTGATCATTAGGTGGTGGTCAATGTCATGCGTGTCTAGTCCTTATTAGTGCAGATCGAATGCTATCGATCATGTTGCAATGTGGCCACCAGTCTAGGTGATTACAATTGTGATTACGTCTCAGTTCTACAGGAGGTTAGTCACGGCTCGGATAGCTCAGTGGTAACGTCTCTGACTGTGAAGCTGGTGACACGAGATAGAATTCGTCAGGGACCACCAGTTCCCTCAAGATTACAGGTACACCTTGCTGATGAGTGCCAAGTAGCACAAAATCCGGGTCCAGGGTTTCCTATCGACTACCTCCAACTACCATCTAAATCTCAATATATAATGCATGCAGTGTCAAGTCACCTAGACTGGTGGCCACATTGCAACATGATCGATAGCATTCAGTCTGCACTAAATAGGACTATACACGCATAACATTGATCACCACCCAGTGATCAATCAATTGTGAAGCAGCTGATTGTTATACAGTAAACATAGTGTCCACAATTTCCCGTAAAATAATTGTAAAACTTCAATCAACTACAAATCCTCTTTGATCTAGAGATGCTATGGCAATCATCATTTTAATTGATTATGATTTATATAGGCACTGATGATAAATCGATTTTATTATCGCAGATAATTATTCTTCATTTCAACCGATCTTAACCTGTAAACAATAAACTAAGTTTTATTCACAGTTCATAGATTTTAATAAAACAAATTCCAAAAATGTTACGTTACTATGTAATCACATTGATTGTTGGTGTTTGATTTGATTGTTTCCAAGTTGATTAAGTTATGAATGTAAATAAATAAATTGCAATTCAATAGATTACTATAACATACTTGTATTGAATGTATAGTGAGGATTGACCTTATCACCACTTATTTATATTTTTTACAAATCAAACAATCATTATATGCTGTATTTACAAGGGATTCATTTTCATTCCAACTATAAACAAAGATGAATAGTTAAGCTTTCTGATTGAATGCACTTTACAGTAACGTATATAGGTAACCTATGTATACAACCAAACTAGAGAAACGGTAATACATATTTCTACCTTAGTATATATGCTAAAAGTGTTATTACTAAAATGTAACATGAGTTTGAACGATGGATACTGTAGCAACGGGTGTGTCACTGGGGCCAAAACTAAACATCAAGATTATTAACTAGAGCAGTTCTGATTTTACTGCCGGTATATGGTTGATTCACTTTTCCAAAATAAAAAAATAATAGTGGTCAGTATGAGTCTCTAGACGTTTGATAATTTTTAGCTGGCTATTAAGTACATATATGAGAAAGGTAATGAAGCCAAAATATCCTTTCTAGAAGCTCTACTTATGAAGTAAGTAAATGGATCACTAAAATGGAACCCGAATAGGAAAATTACTTGGAAGATACAGTACATAAACCCTTTTAGTTTTGAATAAAAAAAGAACGATAACTACAACAGAATAACATGGGTTCAATAATTTTTCTGATTATCTCCAGTTTCTTTACAGCATAGAAGCATTAGTAATGATCTTTTAAAACCAGTGCACATGCCTTACAATATAATAACGTTGATTGGTAAAAAAGCAGTCAATGTTTTTGATGGAGTTTTGTTCTCTGAGTTGGATGGTTTGTTAGTGGAGCTTTCATCGTTCTTCTGAATGACATCATCAGCACAAACTTCAGATAGAAGTGAAGTGTTCGAATTTCTCCATATGCATTTCACAGCTTGTCCTGTACACCTCGATGTTGATTGGTTCTTATTGACCCTATATTTGTCATTGTTTACTTCTTTGTTTTGGTTGTGTCTCCCATTGGTTTGATTTTCGTTCCTATATTTGTGCATGATTTTCCTGATTGATTGATAAATTGGATTGATTTCAATATGTTTGTTGATTGCTGATTGACCTGAGTGCCAGGCTTCTGAAAATTCGCTGGTGTTTTTGGAGTTTCCTCTGTCTAAGATTTCTATATTTTTCCAATTGAATGAGTGTCCGTAGTTGTCCACGTGTATTTATGTAAGTGAGGAAATATCATGGCGTTTGACTGCTAATTGATGCAGTCAATATTGAAGAATTATAAAATGTCCAAATGGTTGTATATTTATGCATTAACCAATGTGAAAGTTCCTGAAGAAAGAATTTTTAAATACATAGATAGATATTTCTGGGAAATGAGAAATGAAGCTGGGCATTACGTAATAACAACTTCAGAAATCGATAGAGAGATTAAATTGAGTTTACTTGCCATTCAATCTGCTTATAATAATTTCCGTAACCAACTAATAGTATTCTACTCAAAGCTCTTTTATGGTTTACTGTACACAAGTTGCTGAAATTCAAATAAATGAATTAAAACTACTGCTCTTTACGTGTCCGATAGTGAAACCAAGATTGAAAGATGATAAACTAATACAACTTATCTATACTTATGTCCATCAAAACCTGAACTTTGCGTACAAAAGAAAAATACTCAGCCTCTTCTCTCACTGTAGCCAACTTTAGGCATTAGAAGTCAATACTCATCCTCATTATAAAACAACCTAATTTGTTTAATTAGGGTGGCGTTTTTGTAGCCAGATTTTTTCTACGGGATTGGGTTGCCAACTTTATACCCAACCCTCCTCCTTTACCTGAACTTGGGACCGGCAGTAACTCCAGAAGAGCTACAGGCCGAGTTGTAAAATAACTTAATTTGACAAATGTACATATAATCTCTCTCTAATTTAGATTTATCTTAATTCGTTTCTATAACTTTTGAAACTTTCTGTCGTTAATATAAATGACTGCAATCGATCAGTCTCTTTTGGAACACGTGTATCTTTAATAGATTATCTTGAAATTACCAACGAGTCACAAGTATTCGTAAGGAAGATCCTGTGTTCGATTCTTGATGGATCTATGAATGATGATTTTCTAATGATGCTTAGTTTGTGATGAAACTTATTAAGGTTACCAATTTCATTTTGCTAACAATCCTTAGTTCATATACCTTAGTTTCAAAGGATAAATGTACTTTAAAATTAGTTTAAGATCAGTAATTTGAACTTATAATTCCCAAACCCCATATGAACAAATTTCTTTATTTACATATCGTTGTTTTAACAATATGGGAATGTTTATGCTTTAATTATCTCCGAATTATAAAAATTTTGGTGATGAAGATTACTGATAATACGCTTTAAACATTTTACTAATCATAGGTCATGCAAATTCTTGGGGGAAAGGGTATCCAGAGATTTTAACCAAATGTTACATTAAGGGTGAACCGGATGGTACATTGGGTCCAATCAATCCAATCAATAATATCTCTTATAACTTTATATCACAATTATATAAAGAATTGTTCAGTGTATTTCCTGATAACTGGTTTCATTTAGGTGGGGATGAAGTTGAATATAATTGCTGGTAAGCCTTAGAATATAAATTCGTGATGATTATAATGAACGCATTCACAATGAGAATACGTATCATACTTGCTCCTCATTATTACATGTTGGAACAACCAACTTTGTATATGACAAAGTATCACATAAGGGTAGTTCAGTTAGATATCCCTGATAAATTTACAGTGGATGTGGTTTTTTTAAGTTTACTGAGCAACTGTGCTGATAAGCGTATAGAATTTAAATATACGAACACTCTGTTCTAAGTTGATGGATATATTCTTAATTTGGTGGAGTTTTGTTCTCTGAGCTGGATGGTTTGGTCGTGGAGCTTTCATCGTTCTTCTGAACAACATCATCAGCACAAAATTCAGATAGAAGTCTTAATGTAATAAAATATTTGTAAATTAGACTTAATTGTTATCAGATTCGTATTATACTACTAAATTACTATGTGAAAATGAAGAGACCACATTTAAGATTATTATTAATGTTAACTTTACACCAGATGTTATCTAAACCGAGCTAAATAACCTAATGGCTCTTATCTCCAATTTCAGTCTATCAGCTATGTATATTGTGACCATCAATCAATATCATTAGCTATATATATTACGATGATAGAAAACTTAAATCCACCGGCTTCTCACAAAGACTGTGAAAAGTCTTAATGAATCTAGTCTCTTATATACATATGCTTACTACCATTAAGATAGATATGTGGAGATTATTTGAGGTACAATTCTTATGATAACCATGTCACTATCGTAGAACAGAATTCCGAATATTTTAAAGAGAAGATTATTGTGAACAAATACTTAATCGAGATATCATCATGTTGTATCCCGATAGGAATAATGAATGGTAATTTTTGGGATCTATTTATGGACCAATATTATGAGTATATTTTTATCGTATACCTGTTACGGAACTAAACTGTTCATATTCATGCCCCTCTTATTATAAGCTTTGATTTGACCTATGAACTATTATTACACGGTTTACCATTCATGAACTATTCCCTGTCTGTTAATCACTACCTCCCTCATTCACAGCCACATCTGACTAATTCCTGTATAAATGTTGTTCATATTTTATTGGTACGTTGTGGTCTGTTTGTTTGGTATATAAACTCAGTATGCTTGAAATACAATGATTCATATTTCAGAGGCTGAGAATTGCGTTCTGGACTTAACTGACTGGGCTAGACAGGAAGCAGAGCCAATCAGAACTCTAGACTGCTCATACGGTTTTACGTGTCATTGATCCGATTGATAAGTCATTGCTTTCTAATCAGCGGTCACAGTTATAACACATCACTCATGATCAGATGAAAAATGTTTGCTTCAACATTTTCAACTCTAATCGATTTACAAATTTAGCTGCTGCCCAAACATACCTTTAAATATCAAAAAACACATACTTCTATATAAAGCGCTGTGACCATACAAACTTTAGATTCAATCATTTTACCAAATCAAACGTGCTATGCATATTTCGAAGAATTGTTAATAAGTAAGCTAAAACTCTGCCATAGTTCTGAACGAAACATCGATGTTTCTTAATAACCGTTTTCGGATATCAGCGAACAAGTAATAATAGTATATTCAGAACCAACTGACATACCTTTTTTTGTGATATCTCTTTTTTAAAGTAATATTAACTTATGACTCGGAATATTTCTGCATTCTAGATGTTACATGGAAATATTCCCTACCTCTAGAATGATATACAAAGGAAGCATTTATTCTCCAATGTTTTAAATTTATGTAATATATTTTGCATTCTTTTATTGATGCTAGGCGTTCCAATCCTTCAGTTATTGAATTCATGAAACAAATGAAGTTTGGTGATGATTATCACCGCCTGGAGGGCTACTACATAAATAATTTAATTCAAATTATCAATGATGTCAAACCACCTAGACGAAATATTACTCCAGTTGTTTGGCAAGAAATATTTGAAAATGGGTTTAGAGTGAGTACATCATACTTTATGATTTATATTAACGTAAATCTAAACTAATGATTATTAGATAAACAGTTACCTTCTGTACAAATCACACTTGGATTAGGTACATGACATTACGTCCTTTAATGACGATAATATTTCAATCAGCTGAAGAGATAAACGATATTCCGCTTTTGCAATAACATTTGATCAAGATTCTTTGTTCTGAATAACAAAGAAGGGCAATAGGTTCCCTAAGGTGGTGCTTGGAGGTAGCCAACAGGAAACCTTGGGCCTAGGTTTCGTGTTATTTGGCACTCGTCAGGAAAGCGTACATGTAATCTTAAGGAAATAAATGTTCCCTGACGAATTCGACCTGTATCACCCAGCTTCACTGTCAGTGACATCTCATCAAGATACTAAGAAAAAGAAGATCTACGGAAATGTGAGAACTACAGAGGCATCACACTACTGTCAGTACCAGGGAAAGTCTTTAACAGAATGGTGCTGAACCGGATTAGACACGCAGTAGACGCCCAACTTTGAGATCAACAGGATGAATTAAGGAAGGATCGGTCGTGCATAGACCAAATTGTGACACTACGGATCATCGTCGAACAATCAGTTGAGTGGAACTCGTCATTATACATCAACTTCATTGATTATGAAAAGGCGTTTGACAGTGTAGATAGGAGAACATGATGAAAACTTCTTCGACATTATGGAGTTCCTGAGAAGAATAATAACATTATCTAGAACTCATACGATGGACTACAGTGCAACGTCATGCATGGAAGACAGCTGACAGATGCGTTCCAAGTAAGGACCGGAGTCAGACAAGATTATCTACTCTCCCCCCACCCCTATCAACTGGCGGGTGACTGGATTATAAAGACCTCGATATCTGAGGGAAAACACGGCATACAATGGACAACTCAGAACCAATTAGACGATTTAAACTTCACAGATGACCTAGCACTTCCATCCCATACACACCAACAAATGCAGATTTAGAAAACTAGTGTAACTAAAGCCTCTCCAACAGTAGGCTTCAACATACATAAGAGGAAAGTAACATTCTTAATTTTCAACACTTCGATAAGTTTTCGTCCGATTAAAATGTGATTTGACATAGTTTTGAGAATTATATGTACATTTGTATATGTCAGTCAACCCATTCGGTTTTTTTCTTTTATTGATTTTAGGGCGATAAATCAACAGTAATTCATGTGTGGAAAGACTTATATTGGGAATCTGTGGTGAAAAATGCTACTAAAACAGGCTATAGAGTACTATTCTCAGCTGCTTGGTACCTGAATTACATTTCTTATGGTGATGACTGGAGGTACCACTATCATGTTGATCCAAGAGAGTTCGGAGGTATTTTTAAAATATTGTCATCTACACAATGTGTTCATTTCTCATGTTTGTTGCACATCGGTGGCTTTTTGTTAGTGATCAAAGTTTTTTTAATGAATGAAAAGATTTACAAGAATTTTCATAAGGAACTGATTCCATTTTTCCACCTCAATTAATTGATAAAATACTAGAATTATTGAGTTAGGTAAGATCCTGGAATCCTCTGAATCGTAATCAAATAGACTTTGCAAGATCGGGCATTTAAGTGAGCAGGTAATTACATCAGTATGTATAAACAATGGCTGATGTAGTAACAAAAGTGGATCCTCGCACTTCAAGTCACAATAACGTGCATCTAAAATAGCTTTTTATGAACAAATAACTGTTACTATTGTATTGTAAAAATGAAATAATAGACTGTCAGTTAAAATGTGAAACCTACAAGTAAAAACACCTTAGGAAACTGTGAACTAAGCAATTAAATTTTTTTTATTACTCCGCCTGTAGCTCTCCCAGAGTTACTGCCGGTCCCAAGCCCGGGTAAAAGAGGAGGGTTGAACATGGGGTTAGCCTTCCCGCCCCGTAGAAAACTAACTCGCTAAAAAAACGCTTACCAGAAAAGTTTTTGTGAGCGGCCTATATTCCTTCATGAGGAGTAACAGGCGTAAGTAAGTAAGTACTCAGGAATCATACTTTTCAGAAAACTAAATACGCTAGTAACCTTGGTCAACTTCATTTTAAAAGTATATAATATATCTGCTAATACTGAAGAACTTCAAACATTATCTGCCTTAGGCAAAATATAATATTGGATAAATATACCATAGAAATTGTTGTCTATTTTTTAAAGTACAATTCCGATTAAAGGTTGTTGGCATGGAAACAAATTTTTACACAACCACTATTTCATAAAATGTCTCTCAGTACAGTTAGTGATAGGATAGAATACATAAATTAAATCTAAAATCAACAATCCCGTGTGTATGACAGAGGGGATGTATCACAGTAAGATGTAATTCAAATCCAAATTAGTAATAACCAAATGACATGTTTGCTGAGAATAATTCATTTTCACAACAGTCTTCATCATGAGCTAAAACAAGGATGAGTAACCATTGATAAGCCATGAGCACTGAGCTAATCCCTGGATTTATTCAAGAACTCAGAGACGGGGCACCAGCCTTATGCCAAGGAGGATAAAAGTTTCATGACGGGTAAAATTCAATCATCTCAGAAGTGATATAGTTATCCAGTGATAGTATTGGATGATTGTCGAATAATATGGTGATTATAGTGAGATTCTAAATGCGTACCAGATTTCTGTTACTCCATGATCTAAAGATAAAGCGCCTGAAGACCCTAGGTTCAATTTCTGGATTGATCATATATCTCCACTCCTGATGAGCCATATACCACCAAGTTAACAAATGCTTAGTCCCTCTGAGTTGTCAATTGTTCTTCAACATTTGAAAGTTTGTGGCACAATTTAGTGAGAAAATGATAAAGTTATTAGAAAAACATATTTGCCTGTGAATAGTAGCATTTTATCAAGGTAAATTATTCATTTAGACATTATAGAACAATAAGTCAAAGTATAGAAGATCGACCATAATTAAACGTGATTTAAAAGTAAAGAATGATGAAATTATTTCACAGGTATTTAGATTTTCAAGCTTTTATGTTACAGTTAAAAATGAACTGTAGATAACCTTACTGTTTACAATCAAATCAGATAAAGGTTTGTAACCATATTGTTAATGTTAAACTAAACTTATCCGATTGACCTAGTCCGGGTGATTTAAATCATAACTTTACTACTGTGCAAAAAAATATAACAATAGTCGATCTATGTTAGATCATAATTGAAAACCTGGAAGCACTGGTCGGCCATCTCGTTCTAGTATGGGACTCGTCAGTAGTGTACAACTACAATCCCTCACTCAAATTTCGAATCCAAAATCTGCAGTCTCGCGCGCGAACACCTAACCCCTGGACCGTTGAGAAGGCATCCAATGGTGTTATTGTCAATTTTAAGTGAGAAGCAGTGCCCAGTGGAGCTAATCCATGTCGGGTATGAGGCAGTTACCTACCGAATAAAATGGAAGATGATTGTACAATATCACGGATCGATTGAAATTAGACATTAACACTGTTTGATCCCGGTTCAGTGGTCTAGAGATTGAGTATTCGCGTGCCAGACCGAGGTTGCTTGGCGATCCTATACTATGACCAATTGACCGTCCGTTATTTGAAGGTTTTCATTGGTGGTCTAACACAAATCGATCCTTGATCTCAATCAAAACTCAACACTCTTCACAACCACGTACTGATAACAATAGTAATCATTTACTGAATGCACCTAAATCGCCTTCGAGAAATATTTAATATTTGTTAGTTTCAGATCAAAATACAATTATTTGTATGACTAATGGATTCTCCTTCACACTTATTTTTGTTTTATAGGTAGTAAGGATGATGCGAAATTGGTTATTGGAGGTGAAGCAGCTATGTGGGGTGAATATGTGGATGACACGAATTTGTTTAGTCGATCATGGTTAGTAAATGAATACATAATGCATAATTAATGTAATGAATTTGTGTTGATTATTCAGAGTGGAGTTAGTTCTTACCAGTGACTAATATCAACTGAAGGAATATTGAAAATTGAGAAACACAACACAAGTATCTAGACTCTTTTTATAAACCTTTAGTCGTGTTCATCAACTCTAAACAAAAGGGGCTCGAACTAAGAATATTCAAATTTTCTATCGAGCAGCAATCCATTAGGTCAACGGCTTAGAACAACTTTTGATATGTGATTTATTGGACTTTGTTAATTATGTCTTTTAACTAGAATTCCAAGAAATTGATTTAGAATTAGTCACTATTAATCACACATTTATGGGTTTTTATACTTATTCATTGATCTTCAGTCTAATTAAGTGACACTTTATCATTCCTGATGATATAGAATGGTAGTAGCGCCATATTATGAGTTGACCAAAGTTGAAAAATTGGATTATTACATGTGACTTTAGTGCTCTGAACACATCGTGCTAGCTGCAATGTCTAAAGTTTTATTGATTTAATTAATTTTGTGTTAGTGATTGAACACTGATGGTTAATCCGAGACTAGAAACTAAATGACGGTTCTATTCCATATAGTTTTCGATGATTATCCAAATAATGTCAGTTTATGATAAAAGACGGCCAATTTTACAATGTTAAAGATTCCCATTGTGAAAATTAGAACAACACATATAAGCGAACAATATTGTTTTCAATAAAGATCTCATCAGTCTTTACTCTAATATACATGAATATTGATACGAAAGTTTTTTAAACCAATCAAGGCAATATGGGTCATTAATCACAATGAAATAGAATAAGTCACTAGGTAAAAGTACAAGTTGATAGTAGGAAGAAGACAGGTGAACCGAGAGTAGTAAGAATAATAAACTACAATAACAAGACTCTTATCAACAGTTAATCATTGGAAATAGAAGGTCAAACAAACATGGGTAAATAGACTAGGAATAGTCATCACAAAACATTAAAAATCATTACGTAATAAGATGTGTGTAAATAATCAGAAAGTGAAGAATACAAAGAGGCGCAGAATTACAAACAAATAATGAATGCGGAAATAAGGTTAACGATAACACAAATAGAATAAAAAATAAAAGTCGTTTGTTAAGTTATAACTGGCCATGGAAGGGATAGGGGGATCACGTATTTCTTTTGTACACATAAATTGGGGTTATATGTACGAATTCCAATGGCTTCAGCTATATGTAGAAGACATCGCTGGTCGACAAGAGAAGGTCATTCTACGCAGCTAATCTTGCGTTGACCTTCTCTTGTCGACCAGCGATGTCTACTCAAACGAAGGATAAGCTACCTGAGTCGACCTCTTCAATATGCACTTACAAATTCAGCAGCTCCTGTGAAGATAGCTATATTGGGCCTACTACCAGGCAACTTAACCAACGAATGAGTGAACATCTACCAACTTGGTACATAAAGGGCCAGAGAAAATCTATTCGCAGTTCTATCTTGGCACATCTTATTGATAGAGGTCATGCTTTAGATAAATCGAAATCATTTCGAGTTATCTATCGTATACCTCTATCATTTCCCGACGGAGTCCGTTCCCGTCTCCTATATATAGCTGAAGCCATTGGAATTCGTACATATAACCCCAATTTATGTGTACAGAAGAAATACGTGACCACTCTATCCCTTCCATGGCCAGTTATAACTTAACTAACAATTTTTTATTTATTTAAATTTTATTATTATCATTATCTATTTTATTCTATTTGTGTTATCGTTAACCTTATTTCCACATCCATTATTTGTTTGTTATTTCCCGCCTCTTTGTATTCTTCACTATCTGATTATTTACACACATCTTATTACATGATGGTTTTAATGTTCTGTGATGACTATTCCTAGTCTATTTACCCATGTTTGTTTGACCTTCTATTTCCAACGTTTAACTATTGATAAGAGTCTTGTTATTGTAGTTTATTATTCTCACTATTATCAGTTCACCTGTCTTCTTCCTACTATCAACTTGTACTTTTACCTAGTGACTTATTCTATTTCATTGTGATTAATGACCCATATTGCCTTGATTGCTTTCAACATTTACGTATCAATATTCATGTATATTAGAGTAAAGCCTGATGACGATCTTTATTGAAAACAATATTGTTCGCTTAGATGTGTTGTTCTAATTTTCACAATACATAATTACATCTGTTGTTATTTTAAAATAACGATTATAATTTATCGAAGGAAAACGTATTTTATAATTCAGCACTTAATTTGGATGAAGACGAAACATAAGCTTTGTTAGCCATATGATGGCATAAGAGAGAACTTCGCTAATCATTCATTTAACACATACTTAATTACAGCACATATATGCTGTCTTGTATTCAGTGATTGAATTGATTTATGAATGGTTTTCGAAGTTCTAAGTATCTCAATATGTCATTCGTACAACTAAAAATTAAATCCGGTTGACAATCGGTCATATCTTTGTTCGCAGCATTGCAAACTTACAGTGGAACCAAGCAAATGATGATGAAGTTAAACACAGGTTAGTAGTCAAATATAGATCCGTTGATGAGATTATGAATATTTAGAGACTGTAATGACCTGAATATGTATTATGTAAGTCCAACCGCAGCCTATATCGACACCCAGAAGTGGCCCCCAAGTCAAGATATGATATCATTCCATGAAGCAATTGACTGTTAATTTGAGCCATATTGGTAAGCGTAAATCACACAGTTTGATTCATTATGACAGTCCTAATCACTGAATGATTAACCTTAGGCGGCGTGACTTAAAATGGATGATAATGGAGATGTATTGACTTTCTGCCAGCTCACAGTTACTTAGTTACAAAATGACTACTTACTTTAGATTTATTTGTAAACACATTCTTTCCCGCATGGTTTTGTACATCTTATTTGTTTCACAATCACTAATACTACTATTTCTACTAGTGTATTCATCTCTCTGTGCTGATACGGTGCTTCAATTTATACCTTTGGACATACGTCCCATGTCCTGGCTTTGCTTACAAATCAGTGACTGAGCCTAATGGCTTACGTTTCTAATGTTGATCACAACAGTTCCGTCCTATCAGGCCAACCTAGAATGGTCAATACATGAATTCTAAAAGTTTTTCTCAACTGATGTAAAATAGAAACCTCATTCACTTTCTCTATACGAGAGCTAGACAGATCCGAACCAAATATACAATCTATGTCGAACTTGATAAATTAAGTCAGACACCTATCAGCAACGGATATCTACCTAAATTAATTCAGAAAAATTTGAAGCCGAAGAAAAAACTTGAAAGTATGCTCATAACACCAGAGAAAACTACCTTCACGGACATTCGGTTTGAAGTAGATACTGCAGCCGAAATTCCGAAGCCAGACTTTCGAGATCTCTGAGAAAAACATAATCTTTGTTTTATTTTTAAGTTTGATGAAAGAATAGTTTTATTAACAAATCTGAGTTAACCGCATTTTATCATTAAAGGCCTCGAGGTTCAGCTGTAGCTGAAAGACTATGGACTCATGGTTCACCAAACACAACAGATTTTATTCCAAGGGTGGAAGAACTTCGTTGTCGAATGCTGAGGTAAGTTAAGTATTAGATTGAAATTGGATGTATGCTTGAAAGTAACAACAGTTCATTATAAACAACTTATCCAAATACTGTGATAAGCCGTTTACAGATAATTAGTTTAAACTGAGCAGATTGTTAGTCTGTAAAGTTGAGATTTGAGTCTTATTATTGCTTTACAAGTACTTTACTTTTACCAGTCAACCCACTGTTAATATTGAAATAAAATAAATTACTCATTTGTGTAACGTAAACCACTAAAAGCACATCGCTTATGAACCAAGATCTGAATCAGTATAAAATTACGTGCTGTCGATCATTTTATTCTCTTCTGTAGTTAATTATTTTAAAGAGCATAAAACTGGTAATTTTATTTAATAATGCACCTACGTTTGCAACGCACATCTAATTCCAGAGACTGTAATCTTTGATTACTATTTTGAAGTTGAAAACAGGAAATATAACTCTGCTCCTTTAGGTCTACGGCCGGTCTCAAGCCCGGGTAAACGAGGAGGGTTGTGTGTGGAGTTAGCAACCTCATCCTGTAGAAAACAATCTTGCTAACAAAACACTAACCAGAATAAATAAGTTAAATCATTTAAACTCTGCACTGAAAATTCAAGAGAAAATTATGACGGCTCATGATGAAAGCCAAGATTCTTCGAAAGTCACGGGGTTGATGCTCCTTCTAACAACCAGAGCAACAAGTTGTATAGGTAAATGGAACGTCGGGATAGGGTAGAAGACCAAAAGGGCCAGTCAAATAGCAACGGAAATGAGGAGATATAAATTGACTGTACTCGGAATCAGTGAAACCCATCTGACCCAAGCTGAACAGCAAAGGCTAGATACGGGAGAGATGCTCTTGTACTCCGGCCACGAAGAAGAAAATGCTCCACACACTCAGAGAGTTGCTCTAATGCTGTCCAAAGTAGCACGAAGTGCACTTTTAAGATGGGAATATCATGGATCCTGGAACATCAGATCATCATTGAAAACAAAGAAGAAGGGAATCACAATGAATGTTATACAATGTTATTCACTCACCAATGATAGTAGAGACGACGATAAAGATCAGTTTTACGAGAGGCTGCAATCAACCATGGGAAAGTGCCCAGGAAAAGAACACGGTCATCATGATGGGAGACATATACGTCAAAGTCGGAATGGACAACACTGGATGTGAAGATATCATAGGACAACATGGATTGACTGAGAGAAAGGAACAAGAGTGGTGAGAAATTCGCAAATTTATGTGCATTCAGTAAAGTGGTTATAGGCAGTACAATATTTGCTCACAAACACATACACAAAGCTACATATATCTCACCGGACCACACTACACTGAACCAGATAAATCATATTTGCATCACTAAACAATTCGGAAGATCAATGGAAGAGGTGAGAACCAGGAAAGAAACCGACATATCTTCAGATCACTACTAACTGGTGGTTGTCAAGATGAAACCGAAGCTAAAGAAACACTGGAGAACTGAACAAACAGCATTACAAAGATTCAATACAGCCTTCCTTCGACATACTGACAAACTCAACGAATTCAGGATAACTTTCAACATCAGGTTCCAAGCCGTATAGGATCTACTGAAGGAAAAAGAAACTACTATGGAGGACAACTGAAAAGGTATCAAAGAAGCATTAAATTCAATGTATCAGGAGGTTCTGGGACGCAAGAAGCATCATCATGAGGAATGGATCTCTATTGATATCCTGGAAAGGATTCGAAGAAGGAACAGCAATAAGACGGAAATTAACAACAGTCGAACAGGAGCAGAGAAATTCAAGGCACAAGCTGAATACACAGAAGCAAGCAAGCAAATTATGAGGAGCGATAAAGCTGAGAAGCAGAAATATGTGAAAGAAATAGCAACGACGGTGGAAAAATCTGCAAGAGAAGGAAATAAGAGACAACTATATGATACGACGAATAAACTGGCCTGGAAATATAGTAAATCAGAGAGACCGGTCAAGGACAAAGAAGGCAGGCCAATCACTAAGATTCAAGGGCAGACTGGATTATGAAGATCTCGACATCTGAAAAGAAGCACGGACAGCAATTGACAGCTTGGATGCAACTAGACGATTTAAACTTCACAGATGACCTAGCACTTCCATCCCATACACACCAACAAATGCAGATTTAGAAAACTAGTGTAACTAAAGCCTCTCCAACAGTAGGTTTCAACATACATAAGAGGAAAGTAACATTCTTAAATACCACACAGAGAATACCAACCCAACCACTCTTCATGAACAAGCTCTGAAAGATGTGAATTCTTTCCCGTATATGGACAGCATCATCGATGAACAAGGAGTATCCGATGCACACCGAAAGGCGAGGATTAACAAAGTAAGAACAGCATTCCAACATTCGAAGGACATATGGAACTCAAAACAATTGTCAACCAATATCAAAGTGAGAATCTTCAATACGAACGTCAAAACAGTTCTACTGTATATAGCTGAAACTTGAGGAACTACCACAACCATCACCAAAAGTGTACAAGTATTTATAATCAATTGTCTACGCAACATATTCAACGTCGGTTGGTCGTATAACAGCCTACTATGGGACAGGAAAAACCAACTTCCAGATGAAGAAGAAATTAACAAGAGACAGTGGAAGTGGATAGGATATGCACTCAGTAAGTCACCAAACTACATCACGGAGCATGCGTTAATTTGGAATCCTGATGGGAAACGAAATAGCGGAAGACCAAAGAAAACATTGTCTCAGGAGTTGGAAGCGGACATGAAAAGGATGAATAGGGGCTGGAAAGGACAGGAAAAAATTGTTCCCGACAGAGTTTGATGGAGAATACTTGTGTACAGCCTATGCTCCTTCACGACGGGTAACAGGCGTAAGTTAGTGAGAGGTTTGTTCTTCTCCATTTGACTCCAATAAATGACATCCTGTTAACTGAGTATTTTAGCAGGCCAATTCTCTCAGTAGTACTGTAGTGAGCAAGAACACGAATGGGGACAATCGAGCGTATTTGAGTACAAAATTAGAGAATATCCCACTAAATTTATAGATTGAAACTATATGAGCTAAACTAATTCTAATATTTATAAACCTAATGTAATTTGGAATAAATCGATATAAATAAAATACATAAGATTCATTTGGTATTGTTGTTTACTTGAATCTTCCCATTGATGTTTTAGGACTGAAATTGATCAGTCTGTTATTGGCATATGTGCATACTGTGCGTATGCCTCGATAGTGACTTAATTTATAAGCATTATTATTGGCAAAGATGGATAGTGGCTATCAGTGGAATCCAGTTTGACGCGCGTTTCGTCCTATTTTTGACTCGTCAGCTGGATGTACGTGCATCGCAGAGTTGATGTTCACTCTTGCACTCGAACCCAGCACCATTCACTTCAAACGCCATCGTGTTATCCACTCAGCTACTACTGAGTCCTCATAGCCACTTACTTGTGCAATGGAGTGAAGTTTAATTCGTTTGGTATTGTTTTACTTGAATCTTCCCATTGATGTTTTAGGACTGAAAAAGATCAGTCTCTTATTGGCATATGTGTATACTGACGAGTCCCAAATAGAACGAAACGCACGTCCTGAATTACACTGCTAATCACTATCCATCTTCGCTTATAAAATACATAACAGTATTAAGTATTGAGGATTCTGGTAGTTTAAGTAAAATTTTCCATGTTACATTCATAAACTTATTAGAACTTTTAATAAAGCAATCTCTGGTGTGTATAATGTATTTAGTCACAAGTTCAATAGTATTTGATTAGTGTGTAGGATGAATGTAAATACAGATTCTAATTTATCAAATAATAAGTTGATTGTGATTAAGTATTAAATGATTAGTGTAATGAGTTCTTTTCATGTTGATCGGTAATGATTACTCTAACACATATTCAAATATTGTGCTAAACTATCGAAAGCATATTGATCAAGATCAGCATTTTTTTGATCAATTTAACACAATCAAGCTTATACATTCTAGCTCTTCAATCACAAAACACAAAAAAAAAAAGAAATTTAATGTCAAATCATTTAGTCTAATAATGTCATTATCAAATTAAACTTAGAGAAATAAACATCTATACTACTGATTACACTCACATGACAGTAATATATGATAGTTCAATGTTACGTTATTGTTTTCAGTTTAGCTCAGTGGATTAATCGAATTTTACGAGGTAATAAGCTTTTTATGGAAAAGTATCATTACTGCCTTCCAACATGGTATGATGTGAAAACTAAAAGGGTATTGAAAACAAGGAGCAGAGTGCGTGAATCAACTTTAATTATGAACAATTACTTACTTACTTACGCCTGTTACTTCCAGTAGAGCATAGAACGCCGACCAGCATTCTCCAACTCGCTTTGTCCTGGGCCTTCTTTTCTAGTTCCATCCAATTCTTGTTCATTTTTATCATGTCTATCTCCATTTCCCGGCGTAATGTGTTTTTTGGTCTTCCTCTTTTCCTTTGGCCTTGGGGATTTCAGATGAGGGCTTGTCTTGTGACGCAGTGGGTGCTCAATATGTGTCCCGTCCAATTCTGGCACTCCTTTCCTGATTTCTTTCTTCACTGGGATCTGGTTTGTTCTCTTACACAATAGGTTGCTGCTAATAGTGTCTGGCCAACGCATCCAATGTATTTCGCGTAGACAGCTGTAAATAAATGCTTCTATCTTCTGGATGATGGCTCTCATAGTTCTCCAGGTTTCCGCCCCATACAGTAGAACTGTCTTGACATTTGTATTGAAAACCCTGACCTTGATGTTGGTTGACAGTTACTTTGAGTTCCAGATGTTCCTCAGTTGTAAATATGCTGCTCTTGCTTTGCCGATCCGCGCTTTCACGTCTGCATCAGATCCACCCTGTTTATCAATGATGCTGTCCAAATACGTAAAGGTTTTTACATCTTCCAAATCTTCTCCGTCAATTTTGATTGGATTGGTGCATGCTGTGTTGTATCGGAGAATCTTGCTGTTCCCTTTGTGTATATTGAGACCTACTGCTGCTGAGGCTGCTACACTGGTCGTTTTCTCCTGCAGTTGTTGTTGCGATTGCGATAGGAGGGCCAGATCATCTGCGAAGTCTAGATCGTCCAGCTGCATCCTAGATGTTCACTGTATCCCGCGTTTCCCTTCAGATGCTAACGTCTTCATGATCCAGTCGATCACCAGGAGAAAGATAAAGGGTGAGAGTAAGCAAGCTTGACTGACACCGTTCTTTACTTCGAACGACTCTGTGAGATGTCCACCATGCACGATTTTGCAGTGTGATCCACCATATAAATTCTGTATGATATTGACTATTTTCTGAGGCACGCCGTAGTGTCGAAGAAGCTTCCATTGTGTTGTCCTGTCCACGCAGTCAAATACTTTCTCATAGTTAACGAAGTCGATGTAGAGTGATGAATTCCATTCAATTGATTATATCACAATGATCCGTAGTGTTGGTCTGTACACGATCTATCCTTACGGAATCCTGCCTTTTGGTCACGACGTTGGGCGTCTACGCAGTCCTTCATCCTGTTTAACAATACCCTGTTGAAGACTTTTCCCGATATTGAGAGAAGAGTGATGCCCCTGTAGTTATCACAGTTGCTGAGATCGCCTTTCTTCGGTATTTTGATCAGTAGTCCTTCTTTCCAGTCTGTTGGTACTTGTTCCTCATCCCAAACCTTATTGAAGAGAATGTGGAGTATCCTTGCAGTTGCTGCTACGTCTGCTTTTAGTGCCTCTGCTGGGATGTTGTCCGGTCCTGCTGCTTTGCCACTCTTGATTTGTCTGATGGCCATGCTGATTTCTTCAATTGCTGGTGAGCCAACATTGATTGGGAGGTCCCTAGGTGCTGCTTCAATGTTGTGTGGGTTCAGTGGAGCTGGTCGATTCAAGAGTTCTTTGAAGTGTTCTACCCACCTGTTTCGTTGTTCTTCAATGTTGGTGATTACCTTGCCTTCCTTGCTTTTCACTGGTCGTTCTGGTTTGAGGCGATTTCCAGAGAGTTTCTTTGTCGTGTCATACAATTGTCTCATGTTTCCTTCTCTTGCAGCCTTTTCCGCCGTCGTTGCTAAATCTTCCACATATATTCGTTTGTCGGTTCTGATGCTCCTCTTCACTTGTTTGTTTACTTCTGTGTATTCAGCTTGTGCCTTGGCTTTTTCTGCTCTTTTTCGACTGGTATTGATTGCTGCCTTCTTGTTCCTTCTTTCTTGAATCTTATCCAGTGTATCGACAGTGATCCATTCCTTGTGATGTTGCTTCTTGTGACCCAGGACCTCATGACATGTTGAAGTGATTGCCTCTTTGATCCCCTTCCAGTTGCTCTCCACAGTAGTTCCTTCTCCATTGAGTAGATCATGAAAGGCCTGGAACTTGTTGCTGAGGACTATCTTGAATTTGTTGAGTTTGTCAGTATCCCGAAGAAAGGCCATATCAAACTTTTGTGATATTGTCTGCCCCATTGTCCAGTGCTTCTTGAGTTTCCATTTCATCTTGGCGACCAGCAAGTGATGATATAATGCTATGTCAGCTCCTCTCTTGGTTCTCACGTCCTCCATCGTCATCCTGAACGTTTTGTTGATGCAAATATGGTCGATTTGGTTTTGTGTAGAGTGATCCGGTGAAGTCCATGTGGTTTTGTGTATGCGTTTATGTGGGAATATGGTGCCGCCTATGACCAGTTTATTGAAGGCACATAGGTTTGAAAATCTCCCACCATTTTCGTTCCTTTTCCCCAGTCCGTGTCATCCCATGATGTCTTGATATCCAGTGTTGTCCGTTCCAACCTTGGCATTGAAATCTCCCATCAGAATGGTCAGGTCGTTTATTGGGCACTTCTCGATGATTGACTGCAGCCCGTCGTAGAACTGATCTTTAGCGTCTTCATTGTAGTCGTTGGTAGGCGCATAGCATTGGATGACGTTCATTGAAATGCCCTATTTCTTTGTTTTCAATGAGGCTTTGATGATCCTTGGTCCATGAGATCCCCATCCTACAAGTGCATTTTGTGCCTGTTTGGATAGCATCAATGCAACTCCTTGTGTATGTGGGGCATTTTCTTCATCATGGCCAGAGTATAAGAGAAGCTCCACTGAAGCTAGTCGTTGTTGTCCAACTTACGTCCAATGTGTTTCACTGATCCCAAGTACCTTCAAGTTGTATCTCCTCATTTCTGCAGCAATTTGGAAGACTCTCTCGGTCTCCCACATTGTAGGAGCACTCCATGTACCTAAATAAATGGTTTCTCTAGTTGTCAGAAAGGCCATTGGCCTCGTGACTTCCGAAGGAACTCAGCTTTTACCATGAGGCGTCATAGTTCTTCTAAATGAAGACTTTCTAACTTTCAGGGCAGAGTTTAAAAGGTTTGAATTATTTTTTCTGGTTAACATTTATTTAGCGAGTTAGTTTTCTACGGGATGAGGTAGCTAACCCCATGCCCAACCTTACACCTTTATCCGGTCTTGTGACCAGCAGTAGCCACCGAAGGGACTCCAGGCGGAGTATGAATGGATATACGTAAATCCATCTTCATCCTGCTTTGATGAACTTCATGGTGTTAACTGTTTTTGACTTCCATCTCTCTATCTGTTACATTCTCCCAAAACCTACTAGCATCAAATAGTTGCAATGTCAATGTCAAAATACCATTGTTTTATTGGTTTAACGGCAGGATAAAAATGTTTTCTATTTGCCGAGATATGCTACTGTTATATGGCCGATGATCGAGACTATACTACTATGACACTACATACTCGAATGATCCGCTATAAGCAAACTGGATCACGTTTTATCAGAAACACGATTCGTGACCAAAAATAGAGCACCAGAGTATAGGCTAGGCAGTCTACACTAAATGAGATCAGGATAGAAATCACTATTAGGAAAAGAATGACAGATTATGTAATCATCTGACTGAGTGTCTGTTTGTCCATGTCCAGTGATCAATCACCTTTTTAATTTTACTAGTCACATATCATTTATAAATTAATGATGTAAAACTATGTATTCAGTTGAAATATAAATTTCTTAAAAAGAAAATTATTTTTGTATTTACAGCCGCGGTTGGAACGCTGAACCAATAAATGGACCAGGATTTTGTCCGCTTTAATTAAAACTAAAATTATTATAGTCCATCTCGAATACATGTCGGTTTCAAAATAAAAAATAACTTCAGCATCAGTTTTTATGTCTAGAAATTATTTCATTAAAAATTTCATATCTACAAACCGTAATATTTGATTATTATTATTATTATTCATAATTATGATTAAAATCGAAACATAAAAACAACATAGATACTCAAAAGAATATATTGTAGCTACAATAAACTATTGTAGGGCCAGCGAAATGTCACTAAGCCTTAGCCAAATCATCCGGTAGTTGGATCATTGAATATCGAGCAAATCATCGATCCTCGTCAAGGTCAGGGACAACCAATGCGCATCAGTTAATCGTATGCTATGGACTGACCCATGCGGCAGTGGTCTTACTTTCGCTTGTATCTACTTTAACTAATATATTTCTGTAATAACGTCCTTTGTGTTGTACAGTCTTCAAAGCATCTATAGTACTTTGATACGTCAATGGGGGTAGTCGACGTAAGGTGCTGACCACGAGGTGTGACTTCGACGTTAGTTGGTTCGTCACACCAATCACGTTTAACTCGAGTAGGCTTCCAATCATTTCGACATAGATCATCTACGTTGATGATCTACACTGGTGAGCCGGACGTGATGGTAGTAATATTTAAATTCAGATATAAAATCCAATCAAAATCAGAAATAATGAAGCCTGTAATGCTTACCGATTGGATGGATTATCACAGTAAGATCATACTAGTTATATAATGAAACAAACTTAGAGAAATCAAGGTCGATAATTTCAATATTATCAGAAGCAGACTTATATGGCACATAATTTCACATTCATAGACAATGAATAAATAAGTATAAATTATTTGATTCTTCTGTGTATAAACACCTCACTGTGGAGAAAAGACATTTTCACAAGACCGAAATGAAATATTTTCAAATTCTTTTATAAATGAATTTCAATTCATCTTACAAAGTTTTTAAAAGAGGGGAATACTCAGAAGTTATACAAAATTATCCAATCTTCCAATTGACTGTTGTGTCTTAAAATCATGCATTCAAAGTGTTCCTATTCATTACTTTTATTGCCTATGATACAACCTATATAACGCGTTGAACAAATCATTATGAATTCAATCATGAGAAGTCATTATTTTGAATACGACAAGTGCTCAAAAATATTGACTTAAAGACCTTAAAGATGAGAGTCAATATGGTGTAATGTGAATGGAATTATAAACTATTTGAACAGGTTAATTCTGAAGAGTCGTATTCAGTATTGTAAATACTATCAACCTTTTTGATTCATGATAAAAATTTCAAGTCTCAACATAGAAAAATCAGCCATATTAAATGAATTTGATGATGCGTTAACTCTAGAGATTTGGGGTCAGTGGCTAGAGAACTCAGTTTTCAAACTTTAAGTAATAGATTTAGACCCTCCTTCACTTAATTCATCTTGGGCGACTGAATATTTTAAATGACTCTCATTGAAACAGCAAGGCTCCGAATCGAATACATAAACCTGTACTATTAGAGACTAACTCTGCATGAAATCCTTATCATTTATTCGCAATGTGGAGGCATTCCAAGCAGGACGAACGTCTATGAAAAGAGACTGAGCAATTACAGTCCTCAATATCAATGAGAAGATTTAAATAATCCTATCAAATAAATCAGATCACGAAAGTCTTTGGAATCTTCTTAATGAGACATTTTGTGTTCTTTATTTGAACGTACTAAATAAACGCTTTTAAATATAAGATTCTGTTGTGTTATTCATAATGACTTTTAATGATTATATGATGATATTCTATGTAATGGAAACATTTCATTACTAGTATTTGAAGTACTGATATCGTGGTGTACCATACAACAACTTGTGAATAGATTATGGAATTTTATCTAGCTTTTCATTACGGAGACTACCAAATCATGTATTTGGAACTTCATCTACAGCAACAACAAAACAACTTGACTCAGTAATATGGAGGATGGATTAAAGTAATTTACTATAAGGCTTTTACACCTGTTTGACCAGGACTTAAGTGTATGTAGGGAGAAGTCATCCAATACGTATTGTGGAATGCGGTATACGACAAATAACTCAATGTCTTGCCTTTTATATTTCAGCCTTTAGCGCATCAGTTTACATGTCCCTGAATCATGCGCCAGTGCCTCGACTTCTCATAAGGTCAAGGTTCTTTTCATGTATAACATAAGCTTATCATCCATACGGTTTGGACCACCAGCCCTAAAAAGTAAGAAACCAGATAATTGAGTTTCACTATCATAAACTCCTGACGTTATGTTTCTGAGATGGCAGTGACATCGGGGTTTTCTGTGTACAACGTTTTTGAGCCCCGCCATTATATTTGGTGAGCGGCGAGCATTTTTATTGAAAACCTTTAATTCTGAGAAAAATTGTTCCGTACCACCCAGAATAGTTTGGGGACTATTTTGCCCCGAACTTTTACAATGTGAAAACCGTTAAGTATGGAGATTTTCCCCGTCCTGGAGGCGCAATATATTTTCTGGATGTAGTCTGCTTACGTGTATTTTCCAACATCAGGTTTACGGGAGCAAAATTAACTTTTTGTCCTCTGCTATGAATGAATGCTGACTCCTACTATTGTTTCTGGAATTAGCTTGCTTATTGACGATTTGCTTCGTGGCTTAGATCGTGTTTAAATTTAGCCTTTTGTCCCTTTTCAAAGGACTTTTAAATTAAGAAAAATTAGTGACCTGTTTGCGAGACGTTTTGAAAGGCTGTTAGTTTTCGTACCATAAACTGTTCTCAACCCTACAGTCCTATTTGGCGTCAGGCCTCACTAATTTTCCTTAATTTTCTAGGTGTTCCTTTAAGTCAATCATTAACCTTGTTTTTTTCTTTATCAAATCTTCTAGAACGCTGAAGCTTTGCCTCTGCATTGTGTTGATGTAGAAACCTGTATGGGGTTCTGTAATTAAAACAGTCAACCCACATATTTTACAGATCTCTTTAATTTGTTTCTTCTTAGTGTACTTTTTTCCCTAAAACCACGCCTATATTTGTCTATTTGTTATCTAATACATTATAGTCATGCACCTTGATGGCTTCATTAAAATCTTAAGCTGAACCGATGGTGACACTCAAAAATTCCCCGACATCTGACAGATATTCGTCTGCTAGTGGCTGCTTATCTGATGGTAACTTTCTGGCCGAGTCTATCAGCTAAATCGCCCAAAGAATCAGCTGAGACTATGGAGCAGCATGCTTTGCACGCTCTGCCCTAGTATGGCCGAGAGTGGGGAGAGTCCGCTCTCCCTCCCCAAATGCTCTCACATGGCCATGCGTATACAGCCTCTGCCAGGGAAGTCCTACTCACTGCCTCCTCGTGGCGGGGGTGTTGTTTACGAAATTGAGAGGACGAAAAGCGAATGTCAGGCGCTTCAACCGGATCCCAAACCACTGGTGCACATGGGCTCCAGTAACCTGCGCGAACAAATGGCGCATGAACCAATCGTTGGTCACCGGCTACCATGAGAATGCACCTCCTCACGATGCTCCACTGCCTTGTGGGTCAGACCTTAGGGTCGACGGTTCGGGAAGTGGTCCCCTTAAAAAACCACCTGCTTCGATTTGCGCACCCGGGCAGTATCACAGCCCACACACAAACAGAATGAAATGACAATACTTACAGGAAATACTATACTTACTTCCATTAACAGTCAAACGATTCACGTTATTATTATTATTATTATTTACTGCGTCACTTCCTCACTCTCTTTTATTCCTACTTTATGTATCCTTATTTTTCGACATATACAGCAGCTCGCCTGTGGTGGAAGCTCGGTTCTATCAAAACGTTCTCGAGTCACTGACTGGTTGAAATTTGTATGCTAGCACCAAATAATGAAGCAGTTTTTCTAAAACCACGTGCGCCATTCAAACTGGCTGCCTTCAACGTTTGCACACTCATGCAGGTCGGACAACAGATAGGGCTGGCTATATCTTTAGAAAGTCTTAATATGGACGTTTGTTGTCTATCCAAGACTCGTATTCAAGACTCTGATGAAGTACTATAAATTCGCTCTTCATCTGTCGCTTCAAAAAGCTTGTTTTGTGTGCGTTTATCCGGGGACCCTGTAGCATCTTCGTCTGGTGTTGCTGGCGTTGGTGTCGCACTAAGCGCTAGAGCTGAGGCAGCACTAATTGATTGGATCCCCATTAACAGTCGGTTATGTGCTGTTAGATTAGAAAGTTCCATCAAAGTGAGAAGAAATTGGCTGTGTACAAGACTGCCGCTCCTTTTGGAGTACCTATCTGGACTCTTATCATGCCCTGATCTGCGTCAATCTTACCTTACATTTTAGTGGCCAACTAAGTGACTGCCATCAACGGATTGATATTAGCAAGTTGGTTGCAACTTCTGTTAGTAAATATCGAATCGAGCTGGCTTCTAGACTAGCTACTAATCCACCGAAAAGTGTAGATGAGCATTGGTTGCAACTTCATGACGCCATAAAAATGGCGAGTAAAGTCACTCGTGGGTTCGCGAAACGTCCCGCTTATAAGCACTGGGTTTCTTCAGGCTCCTCACAATTCATTGAAGCCCGTCGGTCTACTCCGGGTGACCGTGAGTTTGACCACAAACGAAGTATGTTAAGTCATAAACTCAGGCAAAGCTTGCGTAAGCAACGAGAAGCCTGGTGGTCGGAGCGTGTTAATGAGCTGGAAGCAGCGGCCGCATCTGGTAACTACCGGAAGCTCTTCCAATTTACCTCCGGCTCTTTTTAAAGATGTTGGTGAATTTCTGACTAAGGATTTGAAGACGTTGTTTGCAAAGGTTTGGGAGCTAGAGAGTGTACCAACATCATGGAATGAGTCGATAGTTGTCCCTATCTTTAAAAAGGGTTCACGCCGTTCCTGTAACAACTATCATGAGATAAGTCTACTTCCAATTGCGTCCAAGCTATTGGCTTCCGTCATACTTCGTAGGTTGTTCAAAACCCGAGAAAGATTGACTCGCGAGGAGTAGGCTGGGTTTCGTTCCAGTCGAGGATGTATTGATCATATCTCCACCCTCCGCCAAATGTTAGGACACCGTCATACATATCAAAGGCCAACAATCGTAGTGTTTCTTGACATCAGGCCTGCCTTCGATTCGTTGGACAGGACTGTTCTCTGGGATTGTCTATTGAAGAAGGGTGTGCCTGAGAAGTTTATTAACATCCTAAAAGCCCTATATACAAACACCTCAGGCAGAGTGAGGGCATACAACCACCTTTCTCCGTTGTTCCATTCAAGCAGTAGGGTTAGACAGGGTTGCCCAATCTCACCATTCCTCTTCAAATTTGCCATCGATGACATTCTGAAAACAGCTCTGATGAATGTAAGTAATGGTGGTGTGGATCTGTTGCCTGGAGAAAGACTTCTCGACCTTGAGTATGCAGACGATAT